CCCCCAAAACCCCAAAACCCCAAAACCCCGGGTGGAAGGGGAGAGGTTGAAAATTTAAATTTAAATGAGGGCTGAGGATATTGTAGGGATTGTTGAGAAGCAAGTGGTGGGTTTAGAGAAGAAGAGAGCTGTTTTGATGGATAATAGTTTTGTGAAAGAAGCTAATCTTGGAGAGGAGCGAATGGAAGTAAAATATATAAGAGACAGTAAGTATCTTAGCCTTGATTTACTGAAGCTTTAAAATATAAGCTGATTCTTGTTAGTATCTCTCTAATTGCTTTCATTTTAGATCAGTCAAAGCAATACAACAAACTCAACAAGGTTGGGAAGTCTCACTCCGAGTATTATAAGTTCAGTTTTTATCTGGAAGAAAATAGACAGACAAATAAGCTTCAAAAGTCTCTACAACAGATGAAGAAACATCTCTTTGATCGTATTGAAATTACGGCAAACTCTAGATGAAAGCAACCCAAAATATCAAAGCTTCTTCCTTCCTTGCTGAAAGTACATCCAAGAATCGAATTTCAACTGTTCATAGACTATTTCAGAATTTCAGGCTCTGCACTTCTTCATATTCTTCGCAATGTGCGTGATAGATACTGCATTGTGAGATTTTCTTGTTGCTCAATGGAAACTCTCAAGCACAAAAAGGTTGACAGAGTAATTAATTTCGAAAGCCTGATATTTTCAGCTTGCTACGATTCAAATATGGGTCATCTTAGCTCTAAAGGCCCTTTCTATCGTAGCATTATCGACCTAATCATGGAGTCGTCTCTACCATTCACCATGCGCAAGATAAAGCTGATTCCTGACTATCCCTCTGAGGGTAATTAGGTTCATTAGAGACTAATCTCGCTTCAGTCACAACTTTAGAGATCTCAAAGATAGACTACAGACAGAAGCTTGGGCATAATTTGATTATTCTCTAATGATTTCTCCTTCCTCCATATTTTTCAGGACATAATCCGCCAAATTTTTACCAAGATAATTTAAATTATCTTAGGGTTCTAATTAGAGATCAGTTGTTCAGTATCCAGTACACACCCTGGGGTTTTGGGGTTTTGGGGTTTTGGGGTTTTGGGG